TCATCTTTTTAAGAAAAGAAAAAGAGGTCATGGAGATAAGATTTCTTGGAAAGAAGAGAGAGAGAAACAAAAAAAAACAAATAAAACGGACGTCATAGAGCCTCTATATGTGTCTGTGTGTGTGTCTATATAGATATATAAAAAGACGAGAGTACTGGGCGAGATCATTTCTTTTCCATTGGGAGCCATGTCGCTATTAGACGTTTTTCCAACTCAACGGATTTCGAACGGGGAGGATTTGAAGACGCTAAAGCAAATCTCCAACTTGAAAATTTTTTTGGCGTGTCATTGTGCGACATTTATTCCGCATTTACCACCTCATCAAGCGATCGTTTCTTTCAACCAAGATGTCGAATCCTCCAACCTGCTCGTTCAGAATATATACAGAAATTTATTCGAATCGCAACAAACGAAAGAGGAATCTCCCTTCTCTTGGAATCGGATGGATCGAGCTTTGAGACGGCCCATTCAAACAGACCGGCGATATACAGATCCGCGCACGAGTTTTCGGTGGAAGAATATTTTTCTCACGAAACGATATTTTACGTTTGGAGTGAGAACGACGGCTGAGGACGAAGTTCATATTGTTCAAACCACAGCCGCTCCTCTCGCCTATTACGAATCATCGTCCCCCAATCTGAAGGAAAGAAGTTTTAAAGTCAGCGACAGGATGAAATATAAGAAATATATTCTAAGACCTTTTCAAAACTATGTCGTTCCCCCGAAAACGCAATATCTCATCGTCACAACCCAGAAGAGTCTCTTTCTCGTCGATCGGTGCTCGTACTCGCTTTGGAAACAATTGAAAGAGGAGATTTCTTTCCAATCGCCGATGATGTTTCAAGAAAAAGAAGAAGAAAACCCTCCGCCACCTTTACCCATCCCTTCCTTAGATGATAAGAGGAGCTGGACCAAACCGTCATGGCCCGAAACAAAATCGACCCGGCAACGGAATGAAATTGAAGTCATCACAATTGAAGATGAGGAGGAAGAAAAAAAATTACCTCTTAAAAAACGGTCGACTTACCGGAACCTACCTGGCGTGCAAGATCCGCTTCAGAATCCAGAAGCTTCTTCTTCTTCTTCCCCGACTTGTTCAAACAGGCAACCTCTTTCGGACTCCTCACAGACAGAACCTCTTCCAGTATCCTCTTCTTCTTCTTCTTCTCCTCCAACCTGTCCCGACATCGTAGAGGTAGAATGTCAGACGGGTCCACAAGCTTCAAAAAGTCCCGACATCGTAGAGGTAGAATGTCAGCCGGGTCCACAAGTTCCAACAGGGTCCAGAAATCGTAGAGGTAGAATTTCAGCCGGGTAAACAAGTTCCAACGGGTCCAGAAATCATGGAGGTAGAATCGCAGCCGGGTCCAGACATCCTAGATCCCTCCACTCATCCCAAAGAGACTCCAAGTGTTTTCAAGACAGCCTTGTGAGGATCCAGCCCTTCCCGTATGGAATGATTATATGGACTTACAAAATTTGGTGCAACAGGAAGGAGAAGAAAATAATCATACGGATGGGTGGGTCAAAGACTGTTTAGATCATTTAACCTCGAATGAAATTGAACTGTTATGGAATTGCATTTCTGAAATCACATCGGAAATGGGATAAAAACCAAAACAAAAAAAAAACAATTTTTTTAATAACAAATGGGAGGAGGGTCATGATGTCAATTAAAAAAAATATTATATAGAGTCCAATCTTGGTGGTTCACTTCAGTTTTCCAGCATGAGGTGATCCACGTTTCCCGAAATATGGATCCCATTCCAAGAGAGATTGTGTAGAGCCTTCACTTCAGTTCTTTTTTTTTCTACCAAGAGGAGAGGGTCCCCAAAGGGCTACCCATGTCCAAAGAGAGAAAGTGTAGAGCGTTCATTTCAGTTTTTTTTCCAAGTTTAGGGGAGGGAGGTCTCAAAATGACACCCCCCCATTTTCAAAGAGAGATGGTGTAGAGCGTTCATTTCTGTTTTTTTCCAAAGTTAGGGAGTTTTCAAATGGCTACCCATTTCAGAGAAAGAGAGAGAGAGAGAGAGAAGGTGTAGAGCGTTCATTTCAGTTTTCCAACATTAGAAGGTCCCAAAATACCTTCTGAATTCAAAGAGAGATCGTGTAGAGCGTTCATTTCCAGTTCTCCAAGATCAGAAGAAGAGGGTCCGCTTTTCCCAAAAGGGCTTTCCGCATTCAGAGACAGCGAAATGCAGACTTCAGTTTTCTCCCTCCCCAAGAATAGAGGGTCCCAAAATGGCTTCCCATTTCAAAGAGAGAGGGAGAGGCGTTCATTTCCATTCTCCAAGATAGGGTCGTCTGCTTTTTCCCAAAATGGCTTCCCAATTCAAAAAGAGAGAGAGAGAGAGAGAGTAAAAGGGTGTGTAGAGCGGTCATGTTCATTCTCCAAGATAGGGTCGTCAGCTTTTTCTCAAAATGGCATCTCCCCATTCAAAAAGAGATCGTAACCAATTTTTTCCAGTTTTTTCCAAGATGGGGGGGGGGAGAAGAAAACCTAGGATGGAATAACACGACACACAGAGAGAAAGAGAAAAAAAAAACGCCATCTTGTCATTTTCTGATAGGGTACCGGTGTTCGAATACTTTTGTGACCGACTGTACCTATGTCAAAAGAAGTCTTGATCATCAAATTCACCCCAATAATTCAATCTCATTTGAAAGCAACAGCATAATAGCGAAATTCAACAATCAAGGATATATCATCTCTAATATTTACATCCCATCAAAAAATAACCCGGACATGGTAGAACTAGGAATTCTACTTCCTATATACTCTACTGCAATAGGAGGCGACTTCAACGCCAAACATAGATTATGGAATCGTAACTCATCTAATAAAATAAGCAGGGACATTTTCAACCTCATTCAAAATAGAAATCTTAACATGCATGCCAGCGATGAGCCCACCCATTATGGCTACAATAGCCACTCTACAATAGACATTTTCTTTCCTGTAACCTCTCCAAATTGCACCGTCTCTGCCATTCCAGCCTTAGCATTCGACCAAAACCCGATCATGCTTGAAATATCCACTAATGCCTACTCTCCGACTTTGGGACGCTGTGTGGTAATTACATATTGGCCAAAGTTCTCCGAAATTTCAAACTCTACGATACCAGGCAACCCAAAAATTGAAAAGGAATCCCAAATAGAAGAAGAAATTGACAAAATCACCCAAAATATTCAACACGCCATCAATCTAGCTATCAATAACATCACTATCAAAAATAATTATATGCTTCTCTCAGGGAAATTAAGGACAAGATTAGAAAAAAAAAACAGGATTCGAAAAATCTGGCAAAATATTGGAGACCCCATTATTAAAAAGCAACTCAACAGGATCCAAAACGAAATCAAAAGAAACATCGGAAATTTAAAGTAAGACGGATTAAAAAATTATTTAAATGGCTTATCTACAGAAGACAATAGCCTTTACGAAATCACTAGAAAGCTCAAAAATAGTTATAAACAAATCCGTAACTCTCATAGCAGCTCCGGTGTAGTATATTCCAACCAATACAAAGCAAACGCCATCGCAGACACTTTGGAAGAAACAGTCACTCATAATGCAGACCCATATGATGAAAACACAATAAATGAAGTCAATAGCCTTGTTAACAACTTTCTCAATACCCCTGGACCTCGCAACTTTACTTTCCTCACAAATACTATCACCGTAGCGGAATTTATCAATTATCAGAAGAAAAAATCCTCAGGGGACGATTGGAATCACAAATATTGCTCTGAAGAATCTTCCCATCAACGCCATCACCTGTCTCACTTAAATTATCAACAGCATCGTCAAACAGGCTTATTATCCTAAAATTTGGAAACACGCAATTATTGTTGTCTTCCCGAAACCTAAATCCAATCCGGCATTCCCAGAAAATTACTGTCCCATTAGTCTACCGAGCAACCTTGAAAAAATAGCTGACAGTATCATATTGCACAATATCCAGCAATATTGCTTCAACTACCTGCCTGACGAATAATTTGGCTTCAGAGAAAAACATAGCATCACACATCAATTACTAAGCGTTATCACGGAGGGATTCAACGCCAAACTGCCCACAGGTGCCATATTCCTCGATGTCGCAAAAGCGTTCGTCAGGGTATATATATAAATCTATATTTCGACTAGCATTATTGTATGCTTCTCTGGGGCCACACTGCCAAATTTCACCTTCAACATAGCGCAGTCCTTCCCCCCAAAAAAAGCACTCAAGTTCATTCCAAATTCGTATATCCACCGTGGTCTCAAAGTATACACAATTGAAAATTATATTAAAAAACTTGCCAGAAAACTAGAGTTCTCACTCATCCTAGCAACTGCATCCACTCTCTAAGATGTTTACCATTTCCCAGAGAGAACACAAATAGCCCTCTGACATTCTCCATCTTTAACGTTTTTCACTCATACTGGACTCTTCTATTCATTGATGTGGACCTTCCGTGAGAAACTCACCTTCTTTGTGGACTGATGGCGGCCACTTGACCATAATTTCGCCGTATTTTGTCCACACTGCTTACTTTGTTGTGTTTATATGTGATTATGGAATTTGTCGGCAGTGGAAGGAATTGAGATAAAATTTCTTTAGGATTATAGTATTTTGCTGGAAAAAAAAAAAAAAAAAAGAGAGAAATAGACGCGCATATGTGGGTTGTTTAATTTTTTAAAAAATAAATGCCTGATTCGTCTGTAAAAGTCGCCAAACTTCGCCGAGGTGGTTGCTGAGTAAAAAGACCTGGACCAAAAATTCATTGTAATTTTATATGTTACAAACACGAAGTATAACGCCATGGAGTCATTATACTCCGTGACTCGAGAATAAAATACGATCTGTGTGTGTTACAACATTTTATGTAAACATAATTATTCTCGAACCTCTCCAACAACAAAAAATTTAACCATTCCTTTATTGGTTCAGCGCATGTGCAACAAGTATCCAGGCAAAACTAGTCGATTTTTCATAAACATCGAAAATTTAAAAAGTAGTTATTGAGTCCGTGTTGCTACAGTTTGGTAATCCGCGATAGCTATTTTATGTGGGACATCAATCAAATCATACGAGTGCCAAAGAATATATAATGGGAGTTATTATATTATATAACATAAATTCTTTGCGAGTACTTTTTCCTAGATTATTGTTTATTTAGTCACTATGAATGGCATGTTGGAATCTTGCGTGGTGTTTCGCAATTATACGTATTGCGCAATATGGAATTCTCACCTGCTGTTATAACCTGAACTATTTTTTAAAAAAGGGTTGATAATTATTTACTTCTTAATATTCTTTACTTGTTTTGGGACTGTGATCCTAATTACGCATAACAAAGTCGTGAAATACCATGGAAACTCTGTCATAAAACTGCTTTCCTGTATTTTTTATGCTCTCTACAATTACAGATTTCCCTTTACAAAATATACACATGAATACCAAGTTTAAAAATGTTCAACAAATGGCATGTATCAAACGAAGTAGCGTATAACAACCGGACATACATCACACCAATTCCAAAAATTTAGTGTATAATATATATACAGGTGGAGTAAGCCGGCAGGCAATTATGTTACAAAGGGAACTGATGAAATTATATATATTTTCATCACCATCTGTACCGGTTTTTTTTTTTTTTTTTTTTTTTTTTTTATAATTTCTTGTGCTACTTAATGGCTTTCGTTGTATCATCATTCTTCTTTACCTAAAATATTATTAAATCAAACTGCATATGCAGTACGAAAACCTTCAGAATGATAACTTGGAGCAGTCTTTACTTTTCTCATGAAAAGCATCAAAATCACAAATAGCATTAAAATAACTTTACTATATTATCTTTATGCTTTTATATTATTTTATTTTCTTTATATAATGCATGTGAAGGAGTCTCAAAATTGTATCACTATACAATAACCAAAAGCCTTATATATATAATTACAAAACAATTCATTTGAAAACAAAACACAAACTGCTTAGTATTTTCGCCGCACGTGGGGTTTTGCTTGTTTTGAAATGTTTTTGTTTTAACATTTTAAAATTCTTTGTTGCATTTATATGATTATTTGAAATTTATTAATTATGAATTTCAATTTCTGGTCTTTGTGAAATATTAGTTCTAAATTTACTTTATGTAGTTTGTCTCAAATAAAGTTTAGGTTAAATAAATTTTATCACATGCTACTGGTAAGCAGAAAGTGAAATTGCTGAAAGTACAGAAACACATCAATGTAAAATTATGCTTTTTATGTCTAATCATTTTCTGCTTATTATTAGTTATTGTAACAAGTTCAAGATCATATCCATAAAGCAGTACATTTTATTATTATTATGTAGCATTTCATATTTTGTTCATACAAAAGAATTTATGAACTCTTTGGAAACTCAATTTCCTGCTTCAAAAGTATCATTCAAAAATTTAATGAGAATTAAGTAAAACACATTTGAGTGTGAAGCTACACTGAGAAATTTCCCTTGAAACAAATATGCTAATGTGGTAAATAATGGTAAAATTTTAATCACTATATATATTTTTTGTTTTGTTTTCTTAAGTTGCAATTTATTCAATATTCAATATCCTGTCATGATCAGTATTTCTTCTAGAATATGTGGACATGAAAAAAATGATATAAATTTCTTAGAAAAATATAAATATTTTAAATTATCTGAAGTGGTATATAAATAATGTTAAGATGTTTTATTGAATAACAAAAGGGTGAAGTAACAAAATAACAAAAAGGATTTGTTTTTATTAATATGATAATGAATTTTGCCACACCTTGTATAATTTCATTTTTATCTAAAACTAATAAATTAAAATTTTTAAGTCCTTTATATTCAAGACTAGGAAGCCAATTTTTACGTTTTCAGCTAACTAAGGGTTTGGCCTGAAACCCCGAAGTCGACATAAATATCATAAGAATTACTGTCTTGATTATATTTCCCAACTACCTCTTCTACTTTATATCTGGGTTCATTTTCATAAGATGTACTGCTTTAATTATTTGGATACATTTCAAAATGCATATAATACATACTAAATTAAAGGTGATGCTAATGGATGTGTATTTATTGATTGGCTGCCTGTATAACAACCAGTTAGATGAAAAGTGTATATTTTTTGTGCCACCAGAAAAGTAACATATTTATAAATGTCTTGAAAATGCTCATTAAATTATGTAAAGAGTTCCTTTTTTAAATGATACTGCATGTCCAGCATTCAAATTTTTGCTTTTGATAATTATTTGTAAATGATTGTGGTGTATAAATATATCATAATCTCTTCAAAAAGAAAAAGCTTTTGTGAATTAATAACTATCGATTTGTTTGTAATAATATTGTATTAAAATAACTTAATAATAATTCTGTATCATTAAATTATTTTCCTTTTGTTATTCTAATTTTTTCTGCATTTCATTTTATGGATTTTACAGGGTATTTTTGTAGTATTTAAATTACGCCTTATAGCCTCAGAAACTGACTGCAAGCAAGTATGAACTCAGTTGAAGAAGAACTGGTTTGCAAAGGGTAAATGCTCTTCTAAAATGCTTATGTATTTTAGTTGATCTCTAAAATATATTATGGTAATGTTTGCCAAATAATAATATATTATAGGGGTTATATTTATAGGATTGACACTGCATAGAACCAACACTGGCACAGGTTCAATATGATAAAATAGTAATTTGATAATAAATGTAATAATAAGTAAAACAGCTAATGCATATTTGTCACAGGCAATTGATGAACACTAGGTAGAATCGACACCTGTACAGCATCAACATGTCATGGGAACTACACCAGCATACAATGTGCATTACACTTTGTAGCCAAAAATTATAATTAGCAATTACACAAAATTCAAGAAAGAAAGAATTTGATTATTATGTTTCAGGGATATAGCCAAAAATTATAATTAGCAATTACACAAAATTCAAGAAAGAAAGAATTTGATTATTATGTTTCAGGGATAGTCACATGAGATCAACACTGGCATAGAATCAAAACAAGTTTTTGAACTGCCTTTTGTTAATTCTGTGCGAGCAGAGAAGCTGTCAATTCTATGTAGTGTTAATGTGTTACATTCTCTATCAAAGCATATAAAATGGTACACACAAAGTTCTTTCTCTAGGGTAATTGTTCAAAATAAAGCTTTAACCCTTTCGCCGTCGTCTCCTGTCCGCGAAAATTTCTTCCCAGCGGCCCTTTGTTTTTCACAACGTGTAATGTTGTTTTCTCTGTACATACATAACTTTCGTAGTGGATGAATGTAAATGAATATTAAGTAAAATTATAAGGAAATAAAGCATAATGGAAAAGTAATAATATCTCTGCTTATTTCTAACAGCAGGATTAATTTGATAACATCTGATCCACTCTTCCCATTTTGTTGTTGTAATCTTTAATAATTATTGGTTTTTTTACAGCTCTTTTCCATGTTTCAGCATCAATCATAAAGTTATTATGGACTGTACTCATCAAACGTATATCCTTCTTGTCTTTCCATTTCACAACCTAATTTTTTCTCTTTTTCTCCTTAGTAGATGTTGAAGATCTCTCACTGTCTTGTATCTCATGTAAAATGGCACGAATATTCATAAAACCCCGGGGGGGGGGGAGGGAATCAGAAATAGAATGCCTGATTAGTACTGCCCTCTAGGAGGTATTAGAACAAACAAAAATAAAAACTCAAACAAGTAAACATTTAGAAAGCGTTTTAAACGTTTAAAAGTTTTAAAATGTAGAATAACTCTTGAAGCGCATTACAGCCGCCCTGCAGAAGTTTCACTTGAACGCGCTAGATGCGTTACGGACGACGAAGAGGTTAAAAAGTATCTATAAGGAGAAGCATAAGTATTTAAACTTTACAGTTAAGCAAAATTCAGTCTTAGATTGATTTGAAAGAAAAGTTTCCACTCATTAAGGAGACAATTAGATTATCTCTAGAGATTCATGAAAAAACCTTTCAATTTGAATGAGTGAGAGTCAAAATAAGGTTATATTCTACTTAACATTAACTCAGAAATTTAAAGCGACAAACTTATACATCATTTGCAGAACCAGGTACCTGAGAGCAGAAATATTTTAAATATTATTCCAGGGATGAATGAAAATTGTTTTCTTCATGCAAGATTCTCAGAAGTATCAGATTCTTTGAGGCCAAAAGAAACAAAGAAGGAGGATATTCAAACTGAGCCGACACTTGATGAAATGTTTGAGAAAGTTTCTGTATTATTGGGCTGTCCTACTGTATTATTGGAAGAATTCGTTGCAGTAGTTGATGATAATGTGTGTACAGCCCCAATTATGACAGATAAAGACATTTTAGAGTTTGTTCAAAGCTAAAAAATATCATTAATGCAGATTCGAAATGAGGAACATCATGAAAAGTATGCTCAGTTATTTAGATGCACATTCCAATGGTGAAGGCTCAGGTGCGAAGCACATGAAAACAGGCCCCTGGGCTAGTAGCCGCATCCTGCGTATAACATATGGGGAAGAGAACATATCCTTCCTACCGTAACATGAAAGGATGTTGATTGAGAATTGAAAGAAATTCTTGATGATGCGTTGATGAGCCTTTGCATAAATAAACAAAGCTATTCTGGAAAGGATGAGCGTCAGACTGCTGCTGAGCTAACAGAAAAGATAGAAATAATTAGAAGTCCAAAAGTTTAGCTGAAATACGCTGTCTGCATTCCTATTGGTCCATTGCTGATCGCATGCAGTAATTTTTCTAATCCTCTGTTTCAACGAATTTAATGAGTAGCATTGCTGCCTGGAAACCAGTTTAAGGTTTTTCGGTTGAGTTTTTGCAGATCTGATTTTTTCAATGAATGAAATGAGGGAGGTAGGAAGGTGTTGATTTTTTCATCTTGGATCTAACTATTTCCAATGGTGAAATTGATAACAAAATGGACGGCATTGGCCAATTTGATGCTAAAAAAAGACAATGCAAAGAAAAATATCAGATTATTTCCCCAAAACTCAATAACTGTTTTGTTTTTTCAAAAAACTTGAAAATTTTATATTAATTTTCATTAAGTTCGAGTGGATGTTTTTATTTGATTTTTATTAAATACATGCATATATACATATCTATGTAAACAAATGTACTCTAATAAGCTTAATTTTATTGAATATATGTTTCTTTTTTCCATATCCTTAAACATGAAAGATTTTTTCAGTCACCTCAGTTTCGTATTAAACTTCACTGTATATATTCTTTTAGTTGTAGTTCATTTCCAAAAGTTTTTGCATAGAAATTGTGAAATATATTTAGTCATAACATCAATTTAAAAATATATATTCATAGGGATTGGCCTGTAGTGTAAAATACTGTGATAAAATTTCTTCATGAGTACAGTATTTGCTGCAAAGTTGCTAAAGCAAACAACTCCTCTGAATCTGTTCTTAAAGCCATCACCATGAAATTTTCACCGAAATAAAAGAAACAAAAACTCACTAAGAAGTAGGTTTACTGATCAATTTTCAGGATAAATACCTGATTAAATTGTAATATATGTGTAATAAATAAGTTTTTGCACTTCTAGATCAGAAGTCTTTTTTTCTGTAAAATATAGTCAAGGTGATTCAGAAGTCAAACAACAAAAATCAGCGTTATACCTACAAAATTTTCACAGTGAAAATTTTTGTTATTGTGTCTTAATTATAGTCAAGGTGGTTACAGTAATACATAAATATCCATAATCCCTTAAATTAATAGGTAGCTTTTTTTTTTTCCCGTTCAAACAGATAACACAGAGAAAAAAGATAATTAATTGAAATGTATGCAAATGAAATGCTACAAATGAAACATTAAAAATTTATTATGATATATAGTATATATGTTATTAAATGCATATTTTATGTTTTAATTACATTTTTATCCCGAAAATCACTTTTATATCTACTTAAAAGCAGATTTTTGTTCCGACGGAGATTTTGTGGTGATCACTTATTACTGCTGTGAAACAGTTATAACGATTTTGAATCAAACTATTATTTCTTGCTAAGCACATATTCTAAAATTGTATTTAATACCAAAAGTGTAATGTTTTGTTTATAAAATCCATTGTATTTTGTAATTTTTAAAAGATGCAGAGCACAAAAGATAGTCAAACTGCTCTTTGAAAGTGAAGAACTGTTATGCACACAGTTGGGTAAATTCTGAAAATTTGGTGACTTTTAAGGTGGTTATGCTAATAATAATTACTAAAGTTTATTAGTATTAAAAACAGGTACTTCAATCTATATAGAAAAGAAACCTAGCTTTGTAAAACTAGACAGGTATGCAGTTTCAGTTTATGTAGATTTCATATAAAATTCTGTTGATTTCTAGGGTAATTGAAATGGGCTCTTCTTCTTCAAAAACAATTTTATTTAAGACAACTCAGACTTGGGAAACTATTTTTGCTGCTTATTTCTTATAAATAAAAAAATATTTATCTTAACCGGAGATATATAATGATCTTAAGAACGCAAATCTTCAATATGTAACAAAAGTTGAAGAATACAATTGTCAAGATACGTACCCAAATTTTACATAAAAGTGCTGTCAAACACTTTACACGTGTCTTATCTTCTATTGTGTATTCATTTCCTGCTGTTTTAAATTCTATCAAAGCAGATATAATAAAATTTAAAGATGGATAATCTCATATCTATTGTTATTCAAGATTTTTCTGATAAAGTAATTTGGATAGTAATAAACAATAATTCATTTCTTATTTAAAATATTTCTGATAATGTTAATTTTTAGTTTATTTTCCCCTCTCAACAGTGACAAAGAAAATGACTTTGATACAATCATTGGGCACATAGAAGACATAATTATTGGTAAGTACTATATTAGTATATTACTCTATCAATCTTATTAATGGCGTGGCCACTTCTGTTTAAACATGAGATTTGTTGTCATTTAATGTATATTTATATGTGGTGAAAAATAGAGAAAAAGATATGAGATGTTGATGGTATAAATTAATTTTTATTTAAATTTACATTTGGCCACAATTCACTTTGCACTCTAATTCTGCCTATTTACAGAACATTAACATTTTTTAATACTATTGTGATAGGAAGAAAGCACAGCGAAATTGCTTCCAAGGCAGCACAGAGGGTGAAACTAAAAGTGTGCATTTATTTAATAGGGAAAATCGGCAAGAGAAGGTTTTGGTGTAGGTTAGAAATGTTTCAATTCTCGAAATTTTGAGTTTAGGTTTCGAGTTAGTTACGTCATCAGCATTATGCAAGCAATGCAATATAGATTCATCTAGAAATGACACAGTGCAGAAATGTTATTAAATTTTTTAGAATAATGAGGAATTTTGATTAACATATTTTTCATCTTTATATATATATATATTTAACTTTCTTTAATGATGCCTATATGGCTAATCTTTGGAATATGGTAACAGGTAGTTTGGCGACATTTTGGTAGGCGATAAAGGTTACTACCTAGGACTTTGGAAATAATGTGATCTCTCAGTTCCGATTACGCATTATTTTGTGTGAGGGAAATGAGAAATCATGAGATATGTCATGTGACATTAATGGGTGAATTACAGTTCTTTAATCGGAAAAGGGGGGGGAATCTGGAAAAATATCTGCAGTACTTTATAGCATTTTGTATTTAGCTTCATTCTGTGTTGTGTGAAACAGTGTTGGTTAATTTTTGGATGCCATGCCCCTATCTTCTAAGTGAATCTATCTAAGTGAATTCGAAATGGGTATTTAGTGGGATTGAAAGGGGTAGTAATAAGTGTTTTTTTAAGGTTGTGCGAGATAGAAGTAAAGATTGCTTATTAAGTTTTATTAAGCAGTATATTCTACCTGGTACAATAATAATATCTGATTGCTGGAAGTCATATGTCTGTTTGGAGGATGAAGGTTTTCAACATCTTGCTGTGAACCATAAGTATGATTTTAAAGATCCTGAAACAGGCGCACATACGAATACAATAGAGGGCACGTAGAGTGCTATAAAAAGCGTCATTCCGAAGCATTATGATAAAGAGAATTTTGCTTTTTATTTATCCGCCACGTAATCAAGATTCTGAAGAAGATTAGATAAGTTAGTATTTTTAATTATTTGAGGATATTATTTTTATGCATTGTTCTAAATGTAAGGAGTAAATAAATTAATATGGTATTATTTGAAAATTGTTATAGCAATGATTTAGTTTTAAAGTAATTAGGATTGTAAGCTATTTTTTATTAATTTAATGTATGTGCTTATTTATATTTTAAGTAGTGTTTTTAAATTTAATTATATTTTAATTAAATGATAGTTATTTTGTGAATTATATGTTTGTAGCAATTTGGTATATGTTTCAGTGGAAGTAAACGTGCATGGAAATAATTTAAATATTTGACACTAAGTATTTGCAACCATTTTTAATGTTTGCGTTATAAATTCGTTGGTGACGTTTATAATAGATAATTTAGAGGTAAAAGTTTTTGGATATTTTATTTATTTTATACGTGCAAATGTTCATCCTTGGAAAGGGTAGATACTTTTTTGCGATCAGGTAATTTCATATATGTGCTTTTTACCGAGTTTAAAGATTCACAAAATTTTCCTGCATTTTCGTACAAATTTTTGTAATTTATGAGAAAATAGCAGTGTAGATGGATAAAGTGAAGAGTGTGCGCAATGCCATTTTTGTGCAATTTTGGGATTTTTTTAAAGTAAAAATAAGTCGATGTGTACATGGTTACTGTGTATGTGCGATTATGAGAAACGCGGCAAGGAGTTTGCGATTCTGCACTTTTTCCCAATTTTGCAGTTAATATTTGTCATGATTAAGCAGTTTTGTTCCATAAAATTTCTAGCAGAAATGTAATTCAGCTAGCAGATTGTTGGAAAAAGTGTTGAGTAAAAAAAAAGAAAAGAAACATGTCTTTACTTCGTGAGACAAAATGGCGGCGAAAAAAAAATAGAGGGTTGCTGTAGCAGAGTTTGTCGCCAAATTTTCGCCAAAAATTGCCATGTTATCATAATCCAAAGATTAGCTGAAATGTGGCATGACATATTTTCAAGTTTTCAAAATTCTTCGTTTAATATATGTGTTGTTAACCTTGAAATATGAAAACCCGGGATTCTCGTGTAAAAATGGAGTTTCTGGGAAGTTTTAATGCTGCATGGTGACAGCATTTCAAAAGAACTCCAAATTGATTTGCATTCAGTTTATAATGCATGATTTAAGTAACTGGACTACTTATAATAAGATTTTGACATAAAATATATTTATATTAAATTAGATCTTTTTAAATTTTATGATCTTTGGCTTATTTCATTTTAAAATTTTCTTATTCTTTTATACTGAGAAGATCCTGCTTAGTGAAAGAAAAATTTTATTTATCTAACAAATTTTAAATACGATCAAAATAAAATTGATGTATGGATCAACTGAAATACTGAAACATACATTGATGTTAAAAAAAAAAAAATTAAGTGCAACCTTTTTTTTAACTGATTAAACATCGGTTAAATCTCTTCAAAAATTCTACAAATGTCAAGATAATTCAGATTACATAAAATGTAATAAGAAAAAATATGCTGAAAATTACTAGGAGTGGAGGAATGGAATTTGCACAATTTAAGTTTCATTAATTCAATAAACTTCATTTATTTCTGAGAAACACCTTAGTAAAGGCTAAAAGTTAAAAGCTAGAAGAGCAGAAGATATGAAAATCTGAAAGTCTCCTCATTTTATAGGGGAAGTTGACAGCTATGTATGTAGGATGCACTTGTATTTGTAGCATGTTTTGATTCTCATAATATAAGTATTGTACTTTCACTGTTAAAATTTATTTTTAGAATAACTGTATAGTATCTCAAGTAAAAATATGAGGTCACTTCAAACAAAAAAGCTTGTCACTTCTAATATAATTTTACCATTATATTTGAAGTGACAATCAGAGTTACTGTCTCTAGTATTATTGGCAAGTATGGATGGCTGATACAGATAAGTAATGAACAGGTTACAGTATCATTCAAGAATAATACACTGACAGAAAAAAAAAATCCCAACACCAAGAAAGACTTGTGTTAGAGAAACAAAATTTAGTAGGCATGTTTATACATCTGAAAGATGACATCGATTCAAATTTTGTGCTTAAGTATGGCGCTAGTAGTGCCACTCAGAACTTGCAAATCAGGTTTGCTTTAAATGCATGCTGTAAAGTTCGTGAGCATTATTTATCTTACATATTAAGTTGATGTTGTACAAGAATGCCTTTAAGAAGATGAAGAAGCCATTATCAACAGCTCACCAAGTTTGAATGAGATCGTGTAATAGTGTTGGAAAATATAATTTATTGTAAACCTTTTACTGCATCATCTCTCCTCCTTGAAATGTTTATTTAGTTTAGTTCTTATTTTAATGTAATATAGTAGTTACTTCTACTTCTTTTCTTACTGCCACTGTTTGCATTGAGAACGGACTGTTTCAACCTAATTTAGATGCAAAAAAACGTGATTTACATCATCTGGAAAGCCGATTCGTGCCGATAGCTGATTGGTTGCCGTGAGATGACGTCATGCCTACTTCTGCTATAAGTATCTTGCGTCACTCTGGCTCAACCCCGGTTTTAGGACCGAAGCTTTTTACAATATTCATAAATGATATGCCTCTACCTTTTCATTCTAATATACTCAAATATGCCGACGACACAGTCATCCTCACCAGTTCACGAAGTCCAAATAATGCTTTAGAGAAACTTCAGCTCCAAGTCAACATTATTAACAAATTTTGTCAAGACTGGAAAATCAAACTAAATACTGATAAATGCTGCGTAGTTCTCTTTCGCAGATACAGAAAAAATATCCCAGTGAATATAAATATCCGACTCAATAACCAAGATATTCCTGTTGCCAACTCCTATAAATATTTAGGTGTCTATATTGACAAAACCCTAAATTTCAAAGATCATATTCAATATGTTACAAATAAGGCTAACGCTGCTTTCATTGCTCTCTACTCATTAATTGGAAGAAACTCTAAGTTAAGCCTCCGTACCAAGAAAAATATCTACATCTCACTTATTCGACCAATAATCCTCTATGCAGTTCCAGCCTGGGCTACTGCCCGAAAAATAGACAGACAAAAATTAAATGTACTCCAAAACAAAATCTTACGTAGCATAGTGAACGCACCCTGGTTCGTGCGAAATTCTCAAATTCACAAAGACCTGGATATCAATCCAATTCACGACCAAATCCTAATTTCTGCACACAACTTCTTTGAAGATATGAGAAATTCTCCCTATGAAGCTATTAAATCGCTTACAGACTATGACCCTACTATTGAGAACGTAGTGAAAAGACCTCGAACGATCCACCACAATTCTAAGTGGTGGTAGTGTATATAATGTATTAAAAAAAAAAAAAAAAATTACTATTCCTTTGCAGTTACTATTCAAGAAAGATGAACTTTGCAAAATTAGGACTTTATTTTTCATCGATGAATTCTTCGTTTTACTACTTATTTAACCAAGATTTTTTACTTTTTATTTTTACTATTTCGTATCGTGTGTTTTAAAATCAAAGTTCGTGGTAACACCAAGTGCTTACTCTCACCTCACTCATTAGCCCTAGTGAGCTACATGACCTCATTTTCACCTTTTACAGTTTCCTATTCATTTAATGATTATATCGCAAGTTTAGAAGATTTTCAAGTGTTTCAAAAGACATAAGACTCTTAAATTCACAAATAGATGTTGCTTTTACTATGTTCGAACTTTATTTATTGCCAAAAACTACAAAAACTTCATTTTTCGAACTCTGACTCCTCGACCAATCTAAATGCCGGACGCTGATCACGTGCTCCTGCTCTTCTTGACTCACGCAGAAGCTTAGAATTTCATTTCGCTTCTCGCCACCATTTACGTATATAATCACCCATGCTATGCCATGATATGCAACTTAGCAAAACTTATTTTATGAGTTCTCTCATTTATTGATCTCGCCTTCGGGCGCGGTGTATTTTAAATACACCTCTTAAATTTTTAACTTTATGGCCTATGGTAAAATGATAATATACTGGTAAGAGCTCCTAGTAGCTAAAGCCAGCAGTAAAGATATGATCCAAGATCCAAGATCCAAGCTCAATCCCGGGCAAAAAACACTTTCGATTTGGTAGTGCTGGCATGAGGTTTTGCTGTTGATTAAAGAAATTGTTCTTTCTGTCTACAGCGTTGCTTTATTCCTGCGATTTTGTGAAGTAAGGGAAAACGACATTGCTCTCACTACTGAAGCTGATCCTGAGTTGCTGTCATCTCTTCTTGATGTTCACGATAAGTATGTTTTCTTTATTCTTTTCGCCATTAGGTTAAAAGTTAGGATTCATGCATATCATGGACAAGGAGGCGATCGAAAAACCGTATCAAATCTGTGTGTGATCACAGAAATCTGGAAGTTACCTGCGATAACTTAGAAAAACTTAAGCAACTTATGCTTTCTGAGTTTCATGCTTATCAAAATTCATTTAATCCAAATAATGCGACTGAAGTTCACTTAGCCCACGTCAATGCTATGGAAAAGGATATACAAATCTTAGAATTATACATTAATGAAATGAAACAAAAAGAAACCCTAAATAATCCAACAGAGGAAACAAATCAATCTGATATTACTGCTAGTCAAAAATCTAGAATCAAAAAGAAAACCACAATAGATAAAGAAGGATACATAACCCCTAGAAAAACTCATAAAAGAACTCTATCAAATTCCGAAATTGAAGAACCAGCTCAAAAAAATAAATTCGAGGAACTAAACCCTGAAGACAATATGGAAGCAGAGGAAGGTGAATTTATTACACCCAACAAAAAAGCAGGACACATTCCCCCTATAGTCTTAGCAGACTTCACGGGGGATTGGGATAAGATGAAAGAAGATTTTGAAGAGCAATTAAATATCAAAAAAATATCGTGGAAACCTAAGTGGAGGTACACTGACCATAAGAGTTTATGACTCAGACCACTACCGCACACAGTTACTGAATACCTAACTAAACTACTTATTCCTTTTCATACTTTTAAACTCAACAGTGAAAAGCCTATCAAGGCAATAATTAAAAAACTTCCAAAAACAGCTAATATGGAACTAATCAAAAACGAAATTGCCCAAGAAGGTATCCCAATTCAAAAAATTCGACAAGTAATTCACACTATTGAAGGAAAGAAAGTTCATCTTCCTGTTTTTTATAGCAGAATGTACTAGAAATAAAGAAGGTAAAAGAATATATGATCTAAAGAAACTCAGAGGTCTGGATGTCTTCATCGAGCCTTTTAAAGCTCGCCCTGGACCCGTGCAGTGCCATAAGTGCCAAAGGTACGGGCACACACGGGACAAATGTCACTATAAACCTCGCTGTTTAAAATGTGCAGAGCCTCATGAAACATTCACTTGTAAACAAACAAAAAATGACAACAAACTCCCTGTCTGTGCCCTCTGTGGGCAAAATCACGTTTCTTCCTTCAAAGGTTGCAGTAAACATCCTTATAATGTTCAGAAGCAAATCGAAGAATCTAAAGCTTTCAAAGAAGAAAAGAAAAAAGAACAATTTAAATTTAACAAAAAGGATTTTCCTTCACTCCCTGAGAACAAACCAAAAAATGCATGGAATACTTCCAAGGAAAATGAAAACACTAGTAAAACAGAAGACACAAACTCAAACCCACTTGGCTTTTTTGACTGGATAAAAATCCAATTCACTCAAGTTAAAGAATTCTTCCAGAAATTTAAAACAGCAAAAACAATATTAGACAAACTAGAGGTCGGTATGGCGGCCTTCGAATATTTCTCAAATCTAAACTATGAATTTTAATCAAACTCATAGTCAAATAAATTTTATCTCAGCTACAAATAGCTTCTTAAAGATTTGTTACTATAATGCAAACGGCATCAGATACCAACAAGTGGAAATTTCAAATTTTCTTACTAGACATAACATTGATGTTATGCTAGTAAATGAAACCCATCTCCGCTCTTGCGACAAATTTAAAATACAAGGCTACCGCATCTACAGAAAAGACAGAAGACATAATAGAGGGGAGGAAACGCAATTCTCATTAAAAACCATATCAAAACAGCCAAATATGATTTAAATCCCGCTTGTACTATAGAAAATGCTGCAGTACTTATCTATAGTGGTTTTAGAGAACCTTTTCTTTTTATCTCCGTCTACAATCCCCCCTCCAGCACTCTTGATCTCAATAATCTGAAACTACTTACTGAAAATAACTACCCCACCTTAATAGCAGGTGATTTAAATGCTAAACATTCCTCTTGGAACTGTAGAGTCACAAATAGAAATGGAGAAAATTTAAGCAACTTCATCCACAATAGTAACATCAATCTCATTGCTCCCAATCACCCAACGCACTATACGCACAACGGACTAGGGGATATTTTAGATATAGTTTTGATGAAAAACCTTCCTAATATTCCTAATCTTGATGTTCTCCCAGAACTTTCGTCTGACCATCTCCCTATAGTCTTCAACTTCTATGGATTTTATCCCCCTCTCCCTAAAGCTCATACAAAAGTTAATTGGTATATGGTTACCGAACAGCTAAATTCTGTTAAACAGCAGAGCCACACTTCGTTATGACTGCGATATTGAGCTGGAAATCACCAGATTAAACTCCAAAATTCAAAACGCTATCAATAATGCTACCTATACAGTCAAGAATAAAAATCCCTATGGCATCCCAGAAGAAATTAAATCCCTTATACAAGAAAGAAATAGACTTAGAAAAAGATGGCATATTACTCGCAATCCTACTGAAAAACGTCATATTAATTATTTAAACAGAAAAATAAAAGAAGACATCGCCACCCATCGATCAAATTCGTGGGATAATTTCCTAGAAAACATGGATCTTTACCCAAACTCTGTTTGGAAAGTAGCTAAATCACTCAGAAATCTTTCACCCAATCAAATTCACCCCCTGTATCACATGGGCAAAATTCACCACTCCGAAGACTCCATTGCTGAAATTCATGCAAAAGAATTAGAAAACATTTTTAAACAACATGAAAATAAAAATTCTGATCACGAAAAAGATATTAATTACTCTGTCAATAGCATCCTCAACAGTCCCAGCATTAATTTTTTTACGCCTGCATCTCCAAACGAAGTTCAGCAAATTATTAAAAAATTAAAGAAGCGCAAAGCTAAAGGATATGACATGATTTCTAATGAAGCGTTGCAAGCTTTACCTAGAAGATGCATAGTCTTAATTACAAATATTTTTAATGCTTGTATTAGACTCAGCTACTTTCCATCGCAGTGGAAACACTCGATCATTGTTACGATCCCGAAACCAGGAAAAGATCCAAAGCTAGCAAAAAATTACAGACCCATCAGTCTTCTGCCAGCGCTTGGAAAAGTTTTCGAACGAGTACTTAGTGCTCGGCTCACCAATCATCTAGAACGCCTTAATCTAATAGACAAGCATCAATTTGGATTCCGCAAAGGCCACAATACCACACATCAAATATTAAATTTAGTTGAATTTATTGCCCAAGAATTTACAAAAAAGAACGGAGTAGCGGCATGCTTCCTCGATTTCGAAAAAGCTTTCGATCGAGTGTGGCATGCTGGCTTACTTCATAAGCTATCTAACTTCCTTTTACCAAAC